TCTATGATTCATTCTGTGGGATGGTGATGCTTGGTCAGTGCCTATTCATTTTCCGTATGATTCCTTTTTAATTCAAGAGAAGATGAGAAGGGGAGCAATGAGTTCTCATGTTGCTTTTAAACCAGTATCACAGTTCATTACATCGCTCCTGAAATCTTGTGGACACCCCAGATTTGTTGGCAAGATGATTTGCAGAAATGGTGGGAGAGGAGATACCCTCCTGTCATGTTTAGAAGGAAAAGTTGAGCCTGGGGATAGGGCAGTGCATCTACCATTATGTGGTGCTTCCTCAACAGCAGGATGGGAGATTAAATGAAGGCAATGTGGGAAGCTGAGGCCTGCCATGAGGCAGTGCTTGTAGCCTTGGTTTATTGTTCTAGTCTGTTAAGATTATGATTTTTATCAGTATTGTTAAAAAAGTACAAGTCTTAATACAGACCCAGGCCAATTTGGCTAACTTTCCTCATACAAGGATAGGGTGTGTAAGGTGCCATCCCACCAAAACCATTGTGTCTGCAAGTGGGACATCTCTACTACTTCAACTGTTTATTGTGATGACCTTTCCTATCCCAGAGATGAAGGTGAAATTGAGATGTAGTATAGGGTGTAACAATCTGCTTTAGCTTCTCCAGCTGTGTTTTAGTCAGTGCTAGTCTACTTGAGCCTGTATGTGCACTGAGCTCTTATTTTAGGTTTTACGTCGTTCTTCAAAGAACTGGCTTTAAAGATTAATTAGGGCAGGGGGAGAGTGAGAGTGTGTGTCTGCAAGGGAAAATGTGACTGTGAACCTAGCATTAGAGCACTGACCTGAACAGAGGGAAAGCGGAAGGAAGGAGAGGTTTGAAAAGCTTTCAGGGTGGTTTCTTTGAAGAGTAAGTATAATTACTCTTCTTTGAAGGAGGAATATAGAGATAATGTTGTATATGTGCTTGCTGCAGTACTATGTAATTACATCATGGGATTAGCAGTCAGGTTGCAGTCATGTAGATGCTAACAGCTGTATCTCACCTGATTTAGCATGGATGCACATTCTGAGAGGAGGATTAACCTTCTGAATTGTATTGAAGAATGACTACTTGTGTGGTGATTTGCTGTCACTGATACACACATTGGCTATTTTAGACTGCTGTAACAGGCCTGTTTGAACAAGGAGATTCATTACTGAAGGTCACACTAGCAGCGTATCTGCCATGGAGTTGGGACCGTACAAGTCAGCAGCCTCATGTGAGATGGGGATGTGAATCACACAGAGCTGCCTGTTAGACTGGCATATGCAAAATAAAGTGGAGAGATACAGGCGTTGCTAACTCCAGCTGCAGTGCTGATCATTTGAACTGGACTGTTTTTCTACATCTTCCAAAGCAAGCTTTTCTCTAAAAAATACAGAAATAAGTTGTCACTTCAGTAATTATATTTTTCTTATGTTTATTCTGAAGCTCATGGGAGTGACAGAAAAATGTAAGGGGCTTCAGGAGGTGGTGGGGATTGGGGAGAAAAGATGATAAATCTGAAAGTGTTGAAATGGTAAATAACTATTTCCAAATATTTGCTTCATCTGTGGATAGAGACAAGAAGTAATTTTTTTTCCTTTGTAGCAGAAAAGAGCTTTCAGCGTGTGTTCTCCCCATGAACTGTTGTGTATGAAAAGGAAGCATGTCTTTGCTGCATAGGCCAGATGGTTGCATGGGAAGCAGCTTGGTTTATGGCATAATGTTTTTTGTTTAATACCTTTTTTATTCCAACAGGAAATATGGGATGTATAAAATCAAAAAGGAAAGAGAATCTGCATGGAGATGGGCTAGATTTGAAGAATCAACCAGTACGTAAAACTGAACGAACTATTTATGTGAGGGATCCAACGTCCAATAAACAGCAAAGGCCAGTAAGTAGATAGTCTCAGGGGAGAATTCCAGTAGCAAGATCAAAGCATGACTGGCATAACTTAAATCTCAATCTAAAGCACATGAATGAAGAGATTCAAATGATCATTAGTCCACAGTTGGACTTTGTGTTGTGCAGTTCACCCTCAACTAATAAGTATTTAAAGAAATAAAAAATAATTGGTGGTTTGTTACTTAATTACTTTATGTCTGCCATAGCTTTCTGCATGAAAAAAGTAATCCTTGGTGACACTTGATCTAGATATAGCTATGTCTGTAGAAGAATGCTAGGTAACATGAGAAAACCTGAAGTAGTAAAGAACCATTTTTAAAAGCATCAGTGTTGGGCTTTTAATAGCTACAGGATCCAGCTGTTGATTATTAAATTTAAAAAGGCTGAGGTAATCACAGGCGATTCTTTACCAGCTCTAGTCAACTTTCCTTTTACTCGCTGAAGGCCACAGTACTTGACCTCGCATAAGGGGCGTAGGTGAGGGAGGGAAGGGTGCAGCGGCGCTGGGCACAGCACCGTGCTGCGGAGGGAACAAGCTGGTGGCAGTTCCCTCTGCGCTGCCTGCTGTTAGAAAGGAAGGGTGCTGGGAAGGGCAGTACCAAGTGGGTTTGCTATTTTGCAGATGGGCTTTTTTCCCCACCCTCTCTACTCTGCTGAGGAAACCGTATTTCCTGACTGCCCTCATTCATGGGCTGTGCTTTGCGGGTGTGAAGGATGCCCTTCTCTCCATGTCACCAGCTGATGACACAGTGGACTCCGTGTGCTCTCAGTCAGCGTACATCCATCACAAACTGCCATTTACTTTGTGCTTGTAGTTCTTTAGCATGACAGCTACACGTTAATAACTGTCCTGTTAAAATGCCCTGCCTAAAGCTTCTTCAGCAGAAGTCACAAAGCTGTGAACCTCTTCCCCACAGCTTGTATCACACTTTTCCAAGGTCTGAGCTGCTCATTTCAAAATCTGGTGGGGACTTACCATATTTCTATGCTGTAATTCACTTTTGAAGAATGGTGGAAAAGGATTTGAGCATTTCTTTTTTATTGAAGACATATAAGATGATACCAAAACAAATTAATAATATGTAATTGTAATGTAAGATTGTCAGAAAGATCTAAAACTGCTTAATTAAAGACTTATTTTATTGTAGGCAAATCCAGAAGCACAGCTCTTACCAGGACAGAGGTTTGTCAGTGAAGGTACGTTTTCATAAAATCTTACTGCTGTATGCTATGTCCATGTCAGCCTGTGAAATAATGCAAACATATTTTTGACTTTCTACCTGTGTAGAAACAGAGGAGCATGGAGTCATTGTAGTAGCTCTGTATCCCTATGATGGCATTCATGAGGATGACTTGTCCTTCAAAAAAGGAGAAAAATTGAAAGTTATTGAGGAGTAAGTATGACAGTACTGGTTGTGTTGTAGTTTATCTTTGGACTCATCTGATTCCCTTTATAATATTTTTATATCCTACTCATGAGTGTATTAATGGTAAGAGAGCTCCCTTCTATGTGAAAATACAAGTGCATATGCAGCTATTGGTAGGACTTGGCAGCTGCCCTTGGTAACAGTGACCAAACATTGAATTGATGGAACCAATGGCTCCTCAGGGGGCTTGAGTTCAGAGGAAAGATGTTGCTTCTCCCTCCAGCATGGGCAAAGCTCTCAGCACAGTAGAACCCAAATAACACTTTATCATTTCCCTTTCCCGTGAATGCTGTTTATTCTGTTTTTCAGACTGGGAGAATGGTGGAGAGCAAAGTCTCTCACGACAAGGAAGGAAGGGTTCATTCCCAGCAACTACGTAGCAAAAGTAAACACCTTGGAAACAGAAGAGTAAGTTCTCCCAGGCTGTAAATACTAGCAAATTTCTTCTTCACCCTGGTGGTGTATCCTTTGTAGGTGGGGGAGAGAAATGATTCTAGTTCTTTGATGATTCTTACTCTTTGAAATAATTTTCAGATGGTTCTTCAAAGATATAACCCGAAAAGATGCTGAAAGACAACTCCTGGCTCCTGGAAATAGTCCTGGAGCTTTCCTTATCAGAGAAAGTGAAACATTAAAAGGTAGGCTTGGGATGGGTTACTTTGGAATTGACTGTAGAGTTAAAAACATACAATCTGTCTTCACAAAAATTGGCGTCAGGTAGCTCTGGGTATGGAGTAGTCCCAATGTGTCCTATTGTGTGAATATTCTGCAATTCTATAGGAGTGAGAAGGATGAGAAAGTCATCAGGAAAAGAGAGTTACAGGTTAACACCCACAGTTGAGATGGGGTGGGAGGGGAAGTGTGTGCATGATTGCACTGACAAGAAGCAGAAATGAATGAAATGAGATTCTCTTCCTAACATTTGTGATTTGTTTATTGAAGGATGCTCTTCACTGTAAATAGTAGATGCTGCATTTTATAGTCTTCCATTACTGGATCTGTATCCGTTGCTGAAAGTTTTAAAATGTAGTTAATGCATAATGAGGGTTTTACACTTCTGCTCTGTAGTGTGACTTTTTTCAAAAAGCTTTTTGGTAAAGGTTTGTACTGTAGACAGAGCTCTTTGTACTGAAAAGCTTAGTGAAGTTTCCAGACTCTTTGTCTGGGACTTTGAGGAGAGTGCAGGAGGTTCTGCCCCAGCGTCTGGACTCCAGGTACTTCAGCCGAGTCTTAACGCTGCATCCTCCAGAGGCAGATGCATGGATCCCTTCAGCAGATCATGTCTGTCCTCTCCACAGGGTAGCTTTTCGAGCCCTAACACTGCAGATTCTTGATTAGGTAGCTCTCTGTAATGGGCCCATATCGTTGTTTCCGTGCTCTCAAATGGAATACTCCTAAATGAAGTTCTTGAAGGAAGACTCATAAATTCAACATAGGCTGCTGAGAGTAAGGCAAAATACTCCCAAAATATTTCTTTCTATCTCCTTCTGTCACTGGATCTGTGTGTGGGGGGAGAGAAGAGGGTGAGGTGGTTCCTTATCCTTTGAAAATGGACAACAAGAATTGTAATTGTATGAGTGGAAGAAATGAAGAGCTTGTTAAAGGTAGATGTTCTTCTACCCCACCTCAAATCCCAGCTGAGCTTAGGCTCCCTAGGACTAGCATATCTGCTCTCCCTCCCGTATGTCTCAAGTCCTCTCCAAACTGTCCTTTTGCTAGTTGACCCATGACATCCAGTGTGTTCCTTTTCCGAAACGCTGAGCTCCGGATTTCATCTTCTGACTGAGGAGTGTGACAGCCCTGGCCTTGCTTTCCCAGCCCATTCCACTTGAGCTGAGGGGACTTTCTGCAGAAGTGGGTGTTGGACGCGGAGCTGCCTGAATTATGGAACTCCTGAGTTTGTTGAATAAGATTGAGAAAGAAAGTGTGACTGTAAGCATTTTGGTGACCAGTTCAGGACAGGCTGTTGGCTAACTTCCTCCTGTTGATTGCAAAATGCTTTTTGAGGAAATAAGACAGTAAAAAGAAAAACAGACAAAAAGGTGATGTTGGTTAGGCTCAACTGCATGTGCACGGACACTGTAGACTTTTGCTATCTGTTAATGATCATTCTTTCTCTATCCACAGGCAGCTATTCTCTCTCCATAAGAGACTATGATCCACAGCATGGTGATGTTATTAAGCACTACAAAATTAGGAGTCTAGACAATGGAGGATTTTACATCTCTCCAAGAATAACTTTTCCCAACATCAATGATATGATCAAACATTATCAAAGTAAGTTAAATCGGTTAGTGAATTACTTAATAGAATACAGTAATTATTTCCTGTGGAGGAAAAGAAATGCTTTCTTGTTGTGTTTCAAACCTTTTCATGTTTGTTTGTTTGTTTTTTTTCTCCTAAATAACCGAGGCGTGCATGTTATCAAAGATAGAGTAAAACTGGTTGGAACCCAAGTAACGTTGTTATCATAATCAGACCTAATGCTGCTTGGTCTGTGGCATGCCATTGTGAAATAAAGAATAGCTTTATAAAACACCTCATCAGAGTTATGATGGTGTGAATCTATAGTAAGAGTTGCCTGCATTGTAAATAAATTAATTCTGTATGTGAGAGTAAATTTGTATTCACAATTAGCATAGAATGTCTTCTTGTAGTTGGTGTTGAGCATGGAATTGTTTTTATTTTTCCTATTTATTTATTTATTTATTGTTAATGGCATTTTGAAGGAAGTAAAATTCCATTGACTTCAAAGAAAGAAAATTGCACCCACATAGAATGTATATATTTATTATTTTTTAAAAAATAGAGGGGAGAAGGGACAAGTTTCTACCTATGTTTTAGCTACAGAAGTGACTTTTCATTTTGCATAACCTCCTGGTGGATAGCTTCAAAATATGGGGCTTTTTAGTCTTGTAACTGGGAAGACAAAGATGAAAAATGTGGAACAGAAAGTCACATAGTGATTTTTCAAAGACACGCTGAGAACTTGTCCCTGAGAATTCTCTGAGTTGTTAGACTTATATGGTAATTCTTTGGCACAGCTGGAAAACCTGAGAATTATTTGACATTTGTATTAAAGTTATAGCTGGTCAGTGTCTGGAGAAAAAAAAATAGAGACCTACTTATGCTTGCATGCACATGTGTCTGAAACCATGCTGCAAGAAAATTTAATGACAAATTCAAAATACAGGTCCCAAGCCTGACTCCAGTGTGTACCTTCATCAACATACTGCCAGTAATCAGATTGTATTTATTTTTTCACTACGAATTATACTGTACTCTTAATAAGCTGATGGTAACCAGATGCATGTGGCACTTTTTCATTAAATTTATCTCTGGATACCAAATTTCACTTCGGAAGTGCTTGAAGTGTTGTGAGAGCACCAGAAAGGTTACATTTTCATCAAAGCATCTGATTACTTTGAACATTATTTTGAGCTGGTTAGTGCACACCTGCAATTAAGCAATGTTAGTCTCAAGTCGTGAGGCACAAAAGTGTAACAGACTTTTTATTTTGTTTTTCCTTTCACAAACAGAGCAATCGGATGGTTTATGCAGAAGGTTGGAAAAAGCTTGTATTAGTCCCAAGCCTCAAAAACCATGGGATAAAGATGCGTGGGAAATTCCACGGGAATCAATTAAATTAGTGAAGAAACTTGGAGCTGGTCAGTTTGGAGAAGTCTGGATGGGTAAGTTTATTCCTTTGGAAAGAGTATTAAAATCTGCTGAAAGAAGTGTAATTTCAAAGTCGTTCAGAATAATAGTGGACATGAAACTGGTCTGATACGCTTGTAAAGCAGCACAGCGCGGCCCAGAATATACCTTCTCGTGAGCAGTGAGGTGGGGGATAGCTGATACCATGGAACAAATCCTTTGGTGTCTTTTAAAGGAAAAAAAGAAACTAGTGAGTAAGCACTGTAATTTAGAGGGTTGAAGACAGTAGAGGGGGTTTTGGTTGTATTTTGTTGGGGAAGGTTATACTAAGATGTGACTCCTGATTCTCAGAATCAGTGGGCATCTCAGAAGTTTGGTTCAAATCAGACAGTGGTAAAGAACCTGCAATAGAAAGAAATAATGTCTTTTAGTAAATTATGTATAGAGTTTTCCTTGTCTCTTGGTAAAGAAGAGGCTGCAATACAATGCATGAGACTGCTGTACTAGGTAAAAAACGGGGACACTTAATCCAAGATTATTGCCTACCAGATTGCTGATGAGAAAGTAGGTGACTTATGTAGTAAAAAGATTAGAGATTGATCACTCCCTACCTTGAGCTATTATGCAGATCCCCAATAATGAAATTGTAATAAGACTTACAAGTTGTAAATGTTAATATATACCCAGCAAAAAATGATAGTGTTAATTATTATAACCATAATTAGCTTTGCTTATAAATAATCTTATTTTCTCAGCCTCAGTGACTTTCTGTGGCAAGGGGCTATGACCACTGTGTAATCACATTGTGCAAAAATATTTAATCCTCTTGCTTTTGAAATGCTGTCTATTAAAGGATCTGAGTATTCTTTTGGGTTCCGTATTGCATGTTCTGTGTGCTATTCATTACTTACACACTTCTTACTGGTTACAGTCTTACTTGAGCTAAACTATACTGTTCTCTCAGTCTTAATTATGGTGTTTTTTAAGGCCAGATCATTGTCGCAATGAATTTTGATTTTTGGAGTATATATTTAAAAATTAATAAAATTGTTATTACAGTAATAACAATTATTGTATTACAATAATAGAATGGATTATTATTGTTATTAATATTTATTTATTATTTAACAATATTCTATAGGCAGGGCATTTCTGAACAACTTAAAAGTGTATCCCAAAACTTATTAGAAGATGGAAACCTATGAAGGGGAGTCTCTGATGACCCATGGGAGTGGAGTGCAGCAGGCTAATGGGAATGTTATTGTTTTGAAGAGATGCTCTCATTTAGAAAAGGAAAGCACAGTCATGCTGTTTGAGTGTCAAATTCCACACACAACTACAGTGTCAATTAGAAAACTCTAAATCAATCATAGGTGCAATCTTTTGGTACAAATCATGCAAAAAATGCAAGCAATGCATCTCTACAATGTAGCCAAATCTAGCCTTTTATCTGCCTTCAGGAGAAAAGGCTTAAGAAACCCTCTAGCTATGGTATACATGGGTGACAATTTACATACTTGTTAAGACAAGCATCAGCCGCTGTGCAGTTTTTTCCCGTCTAATAAACCAGGGCAAGAAATGCCTAACTGACACTGAAACGCTATGAAAAACTTTGTGGCAGAAGGTAATCACCTGCTTGAAAATGTACATCGTTTTGGGAAGTGACTACTTCTGCATACACACAAAGGCATAAAGCTTTAAAAGGGTGTTTCTGGTTCAAGATGTTTCCTCTTGTTTGTATCATTATTTGAACATCTAAATTGGGCCTAACCCCTGCATCTGAATTGCTGCACTGTGAGAAAAACTAATGTACTGTGAAAGCGATCGCTGTGTTTCCTCTTCTGCGCTTCCCTTCTGAAGCGAGAGATGCTGATTTGCATGGCGCAGGTCCTCTCGAATCAGGAGTGTGGTTAGTTTTAGAACCAAGGAAGTTCAAGCTGGAAAAGACCTATTTGGTCAGCTGTGGCAATGCAGGGTATCAACAAACACTGTGTATGGTAATGATCAACCAGGGGCATCAGGAGCTATGTAAAGGTCTTGAGAAATAACCTAGTTGTTACACTTTCCGGATTAGAGAGCTGGTTGTTATGCTCTCTCCTCATAGAGAATAAAATTCTTTTTCAGCCACTGTGTGAATTAGAGAGAAATATTGTTCCATGGTTTAATTACTAAATAAATTTCTTCTTGATAAAGGGTACTTAGAACTGTAGTTTCAGAGAGAACAGTGTCCCGTTCAGAGGAACGAGGTTCCTCAGGACAGAGAGGTACAGAGCTGCTGGAGAAAGTCCAGCGAAGGACCACAAAGATGATTAAGGGACCGGCGCATCTCTCCTGTGAGGAAAGGCTGAGAGAAATGGGACTGTTCAGCCTGGAGATTTCACCAACGTATATAAATACCTGCAGAGAGGGTGCAAAGAGGATGGAACCAGGCTCTTCTCAGTGGTGCCCAGTGCCAGGACCAGAGGCAAAGGCACAAACTGAAACACAAGCGATTCCCTCTGAACATCAGGAAATGCTTTTTCACCGTGTGAGTGACCAAGCACTGGCACAGGTTGCCCAGGGACGTTGTGGAGTCTCTATCCTTGGCGATATTCAAAAGCCAACTGGACACAGTCCTGAACAACTGGCTATAGGTGGTCCTGCTTGATCACAGGGGTTGGACCAGATGCCCTCCAGTGGTCCTATCCAACCTCAACCCTTCTGTGATTCTGTGATATATGGGAAGATAGAGATAATACTATTACTGCAATGTGAAGATATGCCAGCATGTCTTTTATAGTCTTTTCTTTTTAGTTTGTCCGTAAGTATTCTTTGTGCTTCCAAGTTGAGATCTTCCTCTTGCACATTTTGGAGGGCATTAGCTTATGTTATGGGAGGGCTAAGAAAACCCTAGGGACAAAAAGGAGACCACTGTATCCCTCCAGCACTCGGCTGTGCTCCTGTGTGACCTGTGCAGAGAATCTTTGTCACTTAAGAAGTGAGCAGGTGAAACTCCTCCAACTCTGAAGAGTTTCTTTTATACAGAGAAAACTTGCTGTAAAGGACCATTCATTTCCCAGTTTTGTCTATCACTGCAAGTGCATTTAATTTCTTTCTTCATTACAGCTATGTGTAATTTTATACATTTTATGAAGACTTTCTGGTTTTAGGCTACTGAGTTAGTGTTTACATGTGTGTTTTCGGCATCAGCTGTGCTGACAAGATGGATGAAAACAGCCTGGCAGAGTTGTGTTCATGTTTTATGCACTGCACCATGGAAGAGGTTAGAAAGCTGCAGCCTTTGCTTTCTGCCTTCACATTTGATGGGCTGTATGGAGATAGGCTAGAGATGGAGCTGTTGTTGCATTCCCCTGCTCTTCAGCTGAGTGCTGGCTGTCGTTGGTGAAGGAGGAGTGATGTGCTGACATGCAATAGGGTGCAGAGAAGCTGCTGTTCCTCGATCTCTTCCCCAGTACCTCCTGCAATTGTAATGGCCTGAGATGTTATCTGGCTTCTAACAGTGTCATACGTCCGTGGCTCAAACAAGTTGTTCCCAGTGTAACTTTGCAAGGAATTACTGTGAAAGCAGAAGAAGGAGAAAGCTGCATCTTGTAGGCTTGTTCACAAAGTTGTTCACTTCTGGAGATCTGGTCAGAAATGGTAGACTCAACCTCATTATTGTCTGTTATAAATTCATATCACACTTTGGCCTGAATAAGCCCGTGCAAGAATCTGGGGCCAACCTGGCTGTCCAAGATACTACTCTGTCAAAAAAATCTTAATCAACTCCAAAATAAATACGTGAAACACTAACAATTTTTGGAGGATTCTGTTCTAACATGTAGAGAAGAACATGGCTCTCTGTGTAAGACATCATCACACTCCTCAGACTTGCATACTATTGCTTGCGTCACATTTAATTTTTAACAGAAGTCTAAACTGCAGAGGGACTTGCTTCCTGCCGTGGTATGAAAGGTTTTTTTGACCACGGGGTTCGGTGCATCTGGGAAGCTTCTTTAGTGATGTGATGAACCAGAGTAGCACTGCAAGAGCAGGGTCTATGTTTTATGCATTTTTGTTCCTAGCGTGCACCAATATGATGTGAACCATAATGCTCTGTGGCATTAATAATCCATGAAGAGAATTCTCAAGCAGGGCTAAGAGAAAAGTTAACATGCCAAATAGAGCCATTATGGTGTATTTTATTAATGAGGTACATCTTGCTTTCATCTCAGGTGTAAAAGATTCTCTCATGTGGTAACCTACAAATTAGAATACAAGTAATATGCATTTTGGATGTGTATTTTCTTATGCAGCTGTTAGTAAAATCAGAGTAAATCATACTGCAGAAATATTGTTATTAAAATAAAAGGCGTTTAAAATTAACCAAGAAAACTTGCTGGTGCATCTCATCAGTATCAGAAATGGATTTTTACCGTACATACATGAGCTGAATGTTAGCGGCAAAGAATCTGAATTTTATGTCAGGTGTTCTAGATGTAAGCAATAATTTCATTGCTTGCTTACCTTTTTAATTCATGTTTAGCCAGCAAACTGACTGTATATTCATCCATATCATATGGCAAGGAGTACCGTGACACAGCAGGTGCTGGGTTTACACCTGGAGCCAGGTTCAGTTCAGCCAAGGCAGACGTCAGCGAAGGGCTCAGAGCTGCAGGTACTGTATGAAGTAGACATGATGCAGTGTTGTAGACACCGCTTCCTGTGAGTCACTGGGATCCTTCTGTGATGCAGATTGAACATCAAATTTGCTGTCGCTGAAGCCCTTTGAGGTCACCAGTTTTCCTCTGCCTGCACAAAGGCTGCAGTTTCTTACCTGTACAGTAAGTGTGCCTGCAAAACAGATGATCTTTATGGAAACTAAAGCCCAAATCAAGCTAACGCTGGTTTTGCTGGTAGTGGGTGGGCAAGAGAGGTGACAAATTCCGGTTTTGCCAAACTGTCAAGGGTCCATTTTTCACAGGCACTGTTGAGTGTGCTCGTAGAGGTCTCGACCGCCTTTCCTCAGTGTTTTGGTGTTCCATCCCTCTCAATACCTGATGAAATAAATGAACGTGAGAGAGATCAGGATCAATTATCTCAAGTGCTCTCATCAAATAATTTGTTTTGTGTGTTGCCACCAGAGGGTCAGGGTAGACCCTTTTGCTGAAGAAAACATCAGTATGGGTGAGGTGTTGTGGTAACATAAACTTTCTGTAAGTAGAACTCTAGTCTGTTGGGTCTCTTTAGTGAATGTAAAATACCATTACATCATTAATGTTAAGTGTGTTGGTCACAATTGCTTCACAGAAATAATGATATTAATTAGTATGTTCAGTAGAGTATTAAACAAATTGGGAGTGGAACTAGTACTCTGCTTCAGGGTATGGGATGGAATAGTGGAGATAATAAAAATAAGCTTTCTGCTTCTTAAGCAGAAAAGAAACACATTTAATATCCATTTTTTCTGATAGATATAAATTGTATACCTGAGCTTTAACAGTGGATTTGACCTAGAATATCTTTGTTATTCTGTGACCTGACCATGTTTGGAAAAATGTAGTTAATAATCACGCAGGTGAATATTTTGTAATAGACACAGTGGCTTTTCTCAGGTGATGATCCTTCTTTAAGAAAAGGTGATAGAAGATGCAGTGGTTAGAGCAATCTCTGGCAGATCTGGCTATTAGTTCCTTGCTTCGACACATTGGGATGATAAATAGTATAAGGAAATCTTGGACTCCAATTTAGAGGTGTATTCATTGTGGTAATACTGTCTGGATTGTTGCTGAATAAGGAAATGAGGCTATGTCCTGGTTTTGCTAGGACAGAGTTAAT